GAACACAGACCAACTTTTACCTGCTGTCTTAACAGTGCGTTTTAGAAAATACTACAAATGGCGCAGTAAACGCCATCTGTAGCACGATGCTACATTTTAGGATTACGTATTTTTCATAATGTCATAATAATAAATACCTACCTAATGAATTTTATGAGTAAAAATCGTACCTAGTATATAATACACAGAGTGTTCCAAGAAATAATTAAGAGAAAGCACGAAGGGCAAATACTGTGTTGTGACGGAAAAAATAAGTACCCATAACTAGCGAAACTAACTCGAAAAAATATTTCAATTACAGTAGAATCCGGTTGTAATGACATCGAATGAAAATAGCATACACGTCATACAAAGCACAGTCTTAGAAAATAAATAACTTTCTATTTTGGTTGGTTATTCAGCTTAATAGAGAGAAAAACTACAAATTGTATATATTTAGTAATAGAAAAAGAAAAAGAAGGATGAATTGCAATATCAATATACATAAGAAGGGTCAGAAAAATGAGCGAGAATGTTATTATTAATCATTTGGGTCACTATAGCCGGATATGATTTCATTAGAATCAGTCATAATAAACGATATGTCATTTTAAACGGAGTCATTGTATCCAAACCTTCCTATAGGGAATTTAATATGAAAACCAAACTAAACACTGTATTTGTCTTTTAATGATTATGAATAATCTTTTATATGGATTTTTGCTTGGGAACAAGCAAATTATTGATATAAGATTACGGAGTGTGCAAATAATAATTTTTGCAGTTCTAAGAAATACTAAAATTAACGATATCAGCATCATATTCTGACTAAAAAAAGCACTACAATAATATCGTGGGTCTACACGTGGAGAACGATTTATCGCTAAATCTTTTCGATAAAAATTAGGATTCCAGGAATTAAAAGTTGATAAAAGAGTGTACCTATTGTAACACCGACGGTGAATTTTCTGTGTTTTCAGGGTCGACAAACAATGTTACCACACCATACCTGTACTAGTGATGTGTTTTCTGTACTTAAAGAAAAAACGAATATTAAACAACCATTCTAACCATATGATAATTTTCATAGTTTTTGGATGATCGCTGCGTCTACTGTTAACATTTTGCCGACGTTTCAGTTTTCATTAGCAGGGTAAGAAGCTTTCTAAACCTAAATAAGAAAACATTCTAGTTTAGATGAATCAACTAAAAACAACAAATGAGATTATGATAAGATTTCATTTGCCAATCTTGTGCAGTTGGAGAAATTAAAATATCTTTATGTATCTAACGATAAGGGATATATTATTAAGAAAGGCGCAATGCCCATTTTAACGTTGTATATTGCGAAAACTGCTGCTTCAAAAGATAGGTAACCACATTTAACTTCTACGAGTCGTAATTGAACAGATTTATAAGATCATGCTCTTCAACAGCAATACTTGTTGCTCCCATATATTATCACCACTACACACGACATACTTTATTCACACACAGATGCTTGTTTATAACCCTTCGTATACACAAAATCGTGTTCTATTTCTCGGGTAAGCAAAAAAATCATACTTTCACAAACTCAAAGTGATCTATATTTACTACTCACAATCAGTACAATTTTATATGCAAAAGATAACCGAGAGGTTTTGGATTTTTCTCAGTATTGTCCTTATCATTAACAACTCTGAGTTTTTGAGACTATAGCTCGCTTATTTGAATTCCAATTTTAATTTTATTTAAACCACCCAAAAGAGCGTATTTTAGTGCATACGGTAGGTATCCGTACTGACAGTGACATGATATAATCTGGAACTATGCCAAAAAACTTCTCGAGTATGTTAATTTTTATCGAGTTTATTAAAATTTAATTTACAACGCTGTGGTTCGCTTATAATTCCAGATGAAACCTGTTGAAAGTATTAAAAAAGAAAACCAGATTTCAATCAGAATGAAACCCTAATTAAAGGCGTTTTTTTTGACTGATTTTTTTTCAATTTGAAAAACATTAGAACTACAAAAACAGTCCATATCGGTGCAAAGGCGAATAAAATTTCTAGACGAGTTTATCGATTTCGTAAAGAATGATCCTGAAGCCTACCTTTGTCTGTCTTTACTGCACCAAAGCTCCATAATCTGTAATTATGAAATAGCTGTGGGCTTAAAAGCGTGTTAGTAAATAGGAGAGTAGTTCTTCTATTTCATATGTCATACCGGAAGTCTTCTGCGAGCGTCTTTTATGAACGGGAATAATCACCCATAAATTATCACCTGATAATCGTTCTGAACAATTTCCGTGACTTATAACAGAAAAGATTTAAACACTGCAGTGTTAATGAGCATTTATTCTAATCATTACTTCACTAGTTAGACTCGATCTATATGAAGACTTAGACGTTAAGTAAGACAGGGTTATTATGAATATTCACAAAGAAACATTAGAAACGACGCTAGATATTAATTCTCATTTAATAATAAAGATAATAAGGATGGTGAACAGTGACGGTTTACAAAATTATATTGCTTTTAAAATCGACTGTACCGCTTGAAAAAACTCCATGATTACTAATCGATACCATTTTTCGATAATCTAAAAATACGCCAAAAATATACGATAATTTCCCCGCTATTAGTAAGTTGTAAAACCGTAAATATCCACTATTATCCAGTTTGCGTTCAACGCAATTTTAATTTCATTTTCTCTCTTTAATTAATGATAATCACGCCACAGAATAACTGAACCGCTTCCTTCTTTTAAACGTGTAATTACACGAACGTATGTACATTCAGAACATCGTCGAAACAACAAGAGTTACCGTAAAGAAGAATGTTCATGAACGGATAGATAAGAGACCGCTTGATGTTCAGTTGACACGCTGTGTCCACTACCCGACTTAATCGCATAATAACCAGAAAATCAGGCAATGAAGATCACCGCAGATGCGAAACTGTGACGACGATTTAACTTCCGGCTGACAACATTTCAAGTCCATTACCATTGTCATCTGCCGATCAGCATGTCCAGCAAGCGCGACAAGAGTCTGCGACCCATTTTTCATTTAATGCTTACTCTGTACTTTGGACAAACAATAGAGAGAAGAAGTAGTATTAACTCCAAAAGAGGCAAGTACAGTTTCAATTTACCGATTTGGTACCGTAAGAATTTGCAATTGCCAATTAACAACTAGGTATGGGTACCTGTTCATTAGAAAGCACGAAGCAATGAAAGAATAACATTACAAACAATAAAAACTATGTTAAAAATATTGTAATAAACTAAGATGAGTAATAGATCAAAATAAAGATAGGACATGAAAAATTAGAAGAAGTGGCTGATTTTCGATATCTAGGAAGTCAGATAAGTCAGGACGGAAGGAGTAGCAGGGATGGGATATAAAGCAGAGGATAGCGCAGGGTCGGGTCGCCTTTAATCAAAAGAAGTCACTTCTATGCTCGCCAACGGTTAATTTAGAAATTCTAAAAAGGTTGTTAAAGGTGTGTTTGGAGCGCGGCGTTGTGCGGGTGCGAAACATGGACAGTGGGTGCGGCGGAAAAGAAAAGATTAGAAGACTTCGAAATATGGTGTGATAGGCGAATGATGAGGATAACGTAGGTATAAAAGGTTAGAAATGAAGACGTATTAGAAAAAATAGGAGAACAGAGGACTCTATGGAAGTCAATAAAAAATAGGCGAGATAGGTTGGTAGGACACCTTCTCAGGCATGAAGGTCTAGTCAAATACATATTAGAGGCAGAAGCAGGAGTTAGGAGGGGTAGAGGTAGACCAAGGTTAGATTACTGATCAGAAATAGTTAAGGATGTGGGTTGTTCTAATTTTAGGGAAATGCGAAGTTTAGCTCAGGATAGGAAAGAGGTACGTGTCCAACCAGTCATAGGACTGACGCCCTTATGATGATGAGGTCAAAATCAATTCAAATACGCAGAAATCCAATGTTAAAAAATTAAGTATTTTTCGTCTATCTATGTAAGAATGTGCTGACAATATTTATTTTGATTTCACCACATGCACATGCTTCATTCTGGACTAACCCAAACTTTAAATGCAGACAGTTATGCCGACTTTGACCTATTCGTAAAGGGTTCGCTTTATATCAAAATCCGGGAATTTGTGTTAGTTGCATTTGAAGAATATTCAGTTATGCCTTTCTTTCCTTTTTATCCTAGATGTTTGAGGCTCATTTAAATATCATCAATCCAAACAGGTCTTCAGGATTTTAATTTTCTTAGAAAATATAAAACGTTCCGAACTTTTTTTATTATAGTTATTAAAAAAATAATCCTCACATTGAATTGATAAGTAGACTCTTCAAAATTCTATGTTAATATCATTTAAGTTTATGATAAGACAGTACCAGACTCATTCAGAGAAGATAAAAACCATTTCGAGAATTCATTTAATTTTAAGTGGCAATTCTAGTAAAATTAGTCAAGTAATTTTAAAACTAATCAATAATTGATATTGATTAATCACTTTTAAAGGTTTTTTTTTTTCAGGGACGATATTATCATCGACGATGTAGGATAAACTTTTCAAATTTATAGCAGCAAATGCCATTAGATGGCGATATGCTGTTATAATTAGGTAATATTTAACAGACTTGTAACGGATATATATTCGATCTGATAGGTGATTTCTTAAAACTATTATCTATATCATTCTGATGAGAAGTTGATTCATGTCTGGTAGTTTCAATAAATTACTGACCAAGAACTTATAGTACTTTGTACGCAAGGGTTGTTAAAGAATGTAAATACAAGTTAATGGATTATCACTACATAGTATAAAACAAAGTCGCTTTCCCGCTGTCTGTCCCTATGTATGCTTAAATCTTTAAAACTACGCAACCGATTTTGATGCGGTTTTTTTTAAAAGATAGAGTGATTCAAGAGGAAGGTTTATATGTATAATACTTGCATAATATAGTAGGGAAACACTGATAATTTTAGAGGTTTCTAATGTGATGTCGTAAATAAACACATTTTTTGCGCTTACATTGCAAACGCTGGCTGAACCCTACGAGATAGATCAAAATAATATACTACAGTATTGTACACCTTAAAAAGGTCTACAAAAAAGTCCGGGATGGTATATGTCTATCTCTTAGGGATAACCCACAATAACCATTTTTTATCCTTTACTTTTTACGAGAAATAATGGCTTATTTACGAAGCGATTTTAAGCAATACAGCATTAATCCTTATCCAATTAAGTACTTTTAAATACATTGTGCATTTAATATAGATCAATATGGCCCTTTACAACATGTAATTTAAATGAATATTTTCGAAAATATTACAGATTTAAAATTCAGGGACATAGCGGTCGCGGCGGTATCGGCCGGGAGGCCGGTTTGTATTGTCTAATGACAAAAAAACTGTGAATGTTGTATATAAAGACATTCTGTAGTATATTTAGTATGTTCAGAAGGTATCCTTTGGAGATTTCCCCTTTTCGATAACAATCTAAACAAAACAAAAATATATTTAGTATCAGCATTGCACCCGTGCGAAGCTGGGGGCGGGTCACTAATGTACTGTATCATGTTTCAGAAAGACTACGATGGCAGTAACATATCCCTTTTACTGTCTGATCTACGCAGTTATTTGTCGTGATTTTTCGCAACTAAAATACACACTCGGACAATTGTTAATGTTGTTTCTTATCCCATTTATTACCCCTACGCTGAATTAGGAACAATAGTTCAATAAAAATGCTACACGGAACGGTAACTACCATACCCACGACATCGTAGTTTATCAAAAGAGAGAGCGGATTCAACTAAAGCACGCACAATTATCTAATAAAAAATGGTGATGTATATTCATGACAATACATTTATCACCCGTCCGCGAAGGCTCTTAATATCTTCTGCATTTGGTACAAAAAAGGCCTCGGCAGAAGAGCAATCATTAATCAAATAATTAAAAAGTGGCACACGCGTCAACTGGACGATGTTAGGAACAGTGAAAAAAAAAAACCTTGGGTCAACTGTAGACAGACACCATATATACATATGTATAATATACACATACGTATTGGGCTTGCATACATCTGCACTCGGGTTATGTCCATCGCGTACATGGCTAACTATATAGCCGTCTTACTTGGCTCTCCCACTGAGGTCATCCGCGAACAATTATATGACGAAATCGTGGCTCTTGCAAATAATATACGCATATATGAAAGTGACAGGATGACAAATGACCTTAAATTATTTGCAAAAAATATTATAGTTTTATTTCGCCTGCGTATAAATATTCATAAAATAATACATGCTGTTTTTCAGAGGAACAACTGTACCAACAGACCATAGGTGTACATACAAAAATATATGGGATAAATGGCATACGAATGGATTTCCTTAGTAAGTAGTTTTTATCAATTATATTTGGTACGTAATATGAGTGTTATATAGCAGTTTCATTGAACACCTTTAATCAAAGAGCTAAGAAACCATCATTTTAGATCGCTTACTTTTACCTTGCAGACACTTTGATTTTCCTTAAATTAAAGACACCGATTAAATTTAGACACAGATTTACAGATTACAAGTAAGGATAAAAATATTAATAACGAACCAAAAACAGAGCCTGGCTTCCCTTAAAGTCGAAAAAATCACTTACAGATCCATCACGCTATCAAATGTAACCTAATATATAAAACAATAGAAAAGATGATTTTATTGATTCCAGTATGCAGTTATTATCTCATATAAATATTTGTTTCTTGAAGCAACAAACACGTGTCCGAAATGAACAGGTTTTGTAATTAACTACGATGTCTCTTTCTAGTTTATTTATTCCTTTACTAAATTCCCACTTTCCACACCAGGATCAAGAGTGGCCACTGACCGCTGTCGCATTGAAGAACACAACAACTGAAGATGTTGTACTGGAGCATGAGGCGAAACGTTTGGATTTCACAATTCCACCATTCAAACTAGGAACTGTACAAGCCTACATTCTACCAAACACTTTTTAATTTCTTAGGAAAACCAATTACAAAAGTGCTTATAAGTATTAATGAAAATATTCATTTTATTTTCTATTATAAACAACAATATTTATAAGTTAGTAACAATATTATTAACTTCTTTTTTTCTCCATGGTATTTCTATGTTGCATATAATACAATTATTTTGGTAAAAAACAACTTCATTAATAATTCACTAACGTTTGCCCTGCTGATTGAGAACTTCCCCAATGTAATCATAAAGCTATTTTCAAAAGTGGCGATTTGCAAACAGCCTTCTTTGACATACTATTATTAAACAAAATAAAAGATACAGTATCTATTAGAGTTGTTAGAGATAAGTTTAATGATTCTTATTACGTTTTTGTTCATGTAAACGTTAATTAGATTTCAAGTAACTTAGGCTTTAATCACTGTTTCATAAAGTCAATAATACAAAGTTTGCTTGTAAGTCGTCATTTCTTAAAATACCCTTACAATTATCTTGAGGAAGTCCCAATCAGTGGGCGAAATGTTAGCAAATACTTAATAAACATTTTTTATCTTATCTCCACCGAAAGTAAGTACTACATTTTTCCCTAATTCCAGGGACGAAACTGCAACTTTTTCTACCGGGTTAGAAATCGCGTCTATTATAGGAAAGGATTTTCTTTGATATCAAGAAATATCGAATTTATGGGCCTTGGGAAGAAAGTACGATACCACTAGGGTTGCCACCCGTACTTTATTATAAAGTATTGTACTCTATTTCGACTGTGCGTACGTTATACTTTACAAGACACATAAGGTACGCCAAATTCCTTTATTTAAGGCCTTCAGGAAACATCGTAATTTTGTAAGCGATTATTCGAAATTCAGAGTATTGTTACATCAATAATATTGCACAGAATAATGGCAAGCCATATTTACGGAACAACCTGATTTCCCAAATCTGTTCAAAGTAGTTTCACTTTTGCTGTCCGTTCCGGCCACTTCAGCATTTACAGAAAGGGTATTCTCTGTTATGAACACAAAGTGGCGGGACGACAGGAATAAGAACTAATTAAAAATGGACTTTTAGTTTACTTAAATATTTGTTTGCCATGTTTAGAGGCTATTAATGTATTTAAGAGCGACAGCAATTTGTTACTGGCTGCTAGGTGTAACAAAAAATATGTTTTTAAAAACAAAAAATAAAATACTTTATTTTTATGCTGAGTACTTTTTTTTTTGAACCATTCAGTCGAGAAATACTTTATGTAAAGCCTGAAAAGGTGGCAACCCTAGCTACCACCGTCCAGTAGTTTGCAGTCCATCTCTTCCTGGACTCAGGCAGGAATTCACACACTGGAAGGAATGCCGTACATTCTTCCGTGATTTTCCACGTAATTTTACCTAGTTCAGAATTGTATTCTTTTCAAATTATAAAATAGTATTATTCCTTTTTTGCTCAACAAGTTTATATTCATATGTACGTATATATACGTAAATGGCAACCTTCTAGCCATTACAATTCAGTTGGATCGATGGATATGAGCCTGCTTACTTCACGACACAGTTTACTTGTTTGCGTAATATCGTGTGCGATTATTAGTGAGTACGACGTTCATTTTTAGGAGCGTCTTTTGCCTAATATTTAAATTCAAACATCTAAGAACGGTGATACGACAGTATTAAAGTCCAAATTCAATTACCAATTCAGCACGTGGAACCGTAAACTCAAGTCCGTAATCTCGAAGATACGAGCGATAAGGTTGCTTCGCTGGCGAGTATACAAGCAGTAGTGGCCGAGCCCATATTTGCGTCCGTCAGCTTCTATCTCATGTTGCACGACAAATTTAGTAGAATAGGTACAGTTGGACTCAAAATTATGATATACAACTGAAATAACGGGCCCGTGGTTCATCTGGTAAAAAGTGTTATCAATAAATAAAAACACCTGGGAGGTGACCTACACTCCTAACAGATGTAGATTATCTTCACATAGAATTAGTATGCAGTTGCAGTGCAGCAAGCTCGGCTGTTTAAAATCTTTTCTAATAACTCTTTTTTTGTGTCCTTGACATATATTTTTCTTCACATTATTTCTGAACCCTTTAAATCGAATTTCTTCATTTCTCTAACTCGAGATATGCAAGTGTGGACTTTACGTTGTAAATTGTCTCTTTCAATTAGAATTTCTAGATATTAATTTTCTTCGGAAATATCAGCCACATCAGCGATAATCAATAGGTCGCGTTTTCAAGCTGAATCATTACCATCATAAATTTTACTGCGACACTCAGTATTATGTTATGGGAAACAGTGAAAAAAAAGCAGTTACTTTAGGATCATAATAGTACGGTAAGAAAAGACAATACGGACGAAGTACTTATACATATATTGCCTGAAATCATGATCTGAGATTGCAGGGGTTATTACAACAACAATTGAAAGTAACAATTCATTTACATTAAAAAATGAAATTTTAATTTATTAGGTATCTTCTAAAAATTTCCTTTGTTATTAAAAAAATTAATAATATAAGTTTTGAAACATAACAAGTGTTTTATTTCCTGGAGCTAAAAATAATATATTTCCTGGTACTAAAATAACGGTGGTCTTAATTTCGACAATGGTCTTTTATATTATGGTTTCAATCTGGCTTATCAAAACAACAGTAATTGAATTCCTAGGCACAAAAGTATTGCAAAGCCAATGTCATAAAACCGAATTTTCAAAATTAAAAGTTATTTTATTAGTCATTACTGTTCTTTAGATCAATTAATAGTGCCAGGTAAGTTTCAGAGTTCCAAAAAACAAACAATTGGCTATTACTGAAACAAAATTACTGGAAACCTATAATAGGTACCTTTAATTTAACTCACCTGAACCTAACCTAACCCATAATAGGTAAGTACCTTTAATTTAATCCACCTGAAGCTACTGAGATTCAAAGGACATACACAATGTACACTATACCCCCTAAAAAGTAGATTCAAAAAATGCTTGTAAATAATTTTGTGCACGACTATACGTCGTTGATGGGTCCCGCTCTTCATGCTGGACATACACGATAGTCATCAGCGAAACCATCGGACTAGCATCCTTATTAGCATTCGGAGGCAAGAGAAGCCGATTACGGAATTTATTAAAAGTCATCTTTGCCACCGATACGGATTATGTTGATGATGGTGGACAAGGTACAAGATAACGAACCGTTGAACGAAAACAGGAGTGTCAGCCTCTCTTATTACGGTATAAAATTTATACCCGTTTGATCAAATGCTTGGTATAATAGATGACATACGCCAACAGTACTTAATAGGTATGTAGGTATGTAGGTGCTCACTCATCAAATTCGGGTTACCAAATGGTATCTTTACTTAATATTATAGAATAATAAGGTTTTATTTTGACAAAACAGAAGAGAAAATAGGGAAAGAGCGAATATAAAGATAAGAGAAGAAAAATTAAAATAAGTGGCTGATTTTACGTATCTAGGAAGTCAGATAAGTCAGGACGGAAGGAGTAGTTGGGATATAAAGCAGAGAATAGCGCAGGGTCGAGTCGCCTTCAATAAAAAAAGTCATTTCTATGCTCGTGAACAATTAATTTAGAAATTCGAAAAAGATTGTTACAGGTGTATGTTTAGAGCGGACCGCTGTAGGGGTGCGAAATATGGACGGTGAGCGCTGTGGAAAGAAAGGTTCCAAATGTGGTGTTACAGGTCAATGATGACGATACCGTAGATAGAGAAGGTTAGAAATATTAGAAAGAATAGGAGAACAGAGGACTCTATGAAAGTCAATAAGAAATAGGCGAGATAGGTTGGTAGGACACCTTCTCAGGCATGAAGATCTAGTCAGAGACATATTAGAGACAGAAAAGGAAAAAGATTTAAGAGGAATAGAGGTAGACCTAGATTAGATTACTGTTCGCAAATAGTTAAGGATGTGAATTGTTCTATAGTTTTAAGGAATTGCGAACACTAGCTGAGGATAGTAAAGAGTGGAGGTGCCTGTCTTAGGATTGACGACCTTACAATGATGATTATGGTAAAACAACAATTACCTTACATTTTTTATAAAAATAACATCAAATTAAACTGAGATCTGTCAGATCGACAAAGCATAAAAAATATTTCAGGAGAAATCATTTAATTTTATTGGATAGGTGCTAATTTGTTATCAGGACAGTATACATGTAGTCTAATCATAGGAATCAATAAGGAAAAGGATAGGGTAAATTCTGATACTTGACGAGCTAGTTAGAGTTATATTAGAAACAAAAACAGGACTAAAGGTGTGAGAGGAACATCTAAATTGAATAAATGTTGACATGTAGGTTGCTTTAGTTTTAGACAAATAGTTTTTTTTGAATTAGTTGATTTTCCATTCGTGTAATAGATTATTTTATTTTTAACATTAGCGTTTGTTGTTGAAGTTATGCGATTATTTAACGAATTATACGATAATCTTATGTATCAAAGATTTGATGGGAGTAAAATTACTCCATGGTAAACGTAATTGTGACCATTTAAATGATAAATCGGGTCGGTTTGTATAGAACAGAGACGCGCGGCGCTTATGTGTGTGTGTATGTATAAGTCGCGATAAGATCTTAATCTATTCCTATTAAAATAATATGCGTTATTTATATGCAATGAACTTGTATCTCGCGCCCACTGTACACCACTGAATGATACATTGCCTGCATGTTCAATGACCGACGAATACATAAAGCATACGTGCTGGTAAATGTAAGATTGCAAATCTATAACTTAAATAATTAAAAGGATATTATGTACTTTAAATCTTCGCATTTCCCGAAAAGTGCAACATCCCTAACCAGGGCGACTGATGCATAAAGCTGCAGACCTACCAAATTATTAGATGTTTATGTATCTATTTGTAAAATTTATTAATACCTATTATGGTTTAGTGATTAGGGCTGTGTCTAGAAAAACATTCGCTCAGGACACAGCTCCACCCTAGCGCCTCCCTCTCTCTCTATACATATTGAACATAATGACAGAGCTTTCAATATAAAAAGTCTTCAAGTTAATGAATAATGGTAGACCAAATGAATTCTTTAGGTCTCTGTGGTTAAGTGCATTGCGGTTTCTTTAAAAGTATTTTAAATAAATAATCATTAAGAAAGTAATAAAAACTTAACTGTCTTGTACTTATGAATGTAAAATAAGTGATTCCTCTACAAATAGTATAGACGTGTTTCTCGTTGAACAATTACCGGAACGTTTCCCCTTTAAGATTAACCTTATCCAAGTGGTACTTTTTGTAATTTCTCTTTCTCAACTAAGTAAGCGTTTCCCAACCTCTGTATTCGCGTAAACTGATCACGTATGCATTTGCCCATCTAGGAATTCAACGTCCGGCAGCCCCCGCAATCTTCACCGTATTTGCCTCATATGGCTCAGTAATAAGCGCTATTTGCGTCCATATCTGTGCGCAGTATCCTTTCGACGCTCATCTGTTTCCCATGATACTGAGAAAAAGAGGTGAAGAGACATACCTGCACGTGGTCACCAGGACCACGTTATCGCTCCGACTTTATCGGACAAGAAGAAACCGCGGATCGCGGTGCACCGTTCACGAGATGGAGACTCTTCTCCTCCGTGTGGGTGTGTTGTCAAGAGCGTTTTCGTTAATTAAGTAGCCGCACCGAAATTATTAAACCAACTGTTCAGATCATATCAATATTTGAATTTAATGAACTATTATTATAGACGATAGTCAGGTAATCTGTTTGTATAGGCTTTCAGGATCACAACAGACGTTTGGATCACAGGAAATTAG